ACTGACTCCTATTGAGGGTGATGGTGATCCTATTTCACTCCCGGCGGCAGTTGTTCCGCCTCACTTAAAAGGCAGAGGGCCCATAGTGGCTGGCCCCCCACTTCATCGACTACCTGACACACCGGTCCCGCACTCCCCCCCCCCCCCCCCCCACACACACACACATACACATGAGAGCGTACGCATGCACACACACACACACACACACACACACACACACACACACACACACACACACACACACACACACACACACACACACACACGAGTTGTAGGATTTGTTTGAAAAAGTTGACTGACCTTCTGCTTGTTGTGGAAGATGGCGTAGCCCGAGATACAGATGACCACAGCTGTCAGGAAGTAGGCGAAGAAGTGGCCAGAGCCAGGAGAGTCGAGGTCACTGAGTACAGGAGGGTGGACACCATAGTTCTGACCGTTGCTGTTGGGGAGGGGGTCTCCTTGCCTTTGACCTTCATGCTGGGTGGGGGCATTGGTCGCTGATTCGGGTAACCCATCCAGCGGTTCTGGCCCAGCCCCGGGGTCTGAGACGTTCGTCTCTGTACTGCCATCATTATCCAGAACAGTCCCTGCGGAGTCACCACCGCCGTTCTCCTCTGCACCACCATCACCACCAGCACCAACAACCTTCACGTGATCACCATCACCACTAGCAACCACCTCAAGTCGACCCCCAACCTTTTTATCATCACCAGCCTTATCACCATCACCAGCCTTTTCACCAGCACCAGCCTGAGGGGTGTTGTCTTCCCCTGGACTTCCGTCCCCATCTCCAGCATCTTTGGTGGTTCCCTCTGTGCTGGTCCCTGCTGTTTGTTGACCCCCACCCTCTCCCTGTCCTGTCGCTTTCGCCCCGGGAATCTCCACCTCTTCTGGCTTTTCTGTTGCTACTGCAGGGATGGGAGTTTCAATCTTGCCACCATCACCACCGGCCGCGCCCCCAGTTCCACCAGCTCCGCCCCCTAACACTGGGGTTCCAGCACTTGTTCTAGTCGGAACTGTTGGCTCCGCCCCTGACATTTTCTCCGGGGTAGACTGACCAGGGCCGAGTGTCTGGCCATCAACCTTCTCTGTCATGCCAGACAAGGCGGGGGTCACTCCGCCCGCACCATTCAGGGATTTGGTGGAAGCAGCTGTTTGTCCTGGACTAGCAGTCACTCGTTGACTCGGCTTGCCAACCTCGGGTCTCTTTGTCACTCCTTGTCCGGGCTTGTCTGTAATGTCTGCAGCCCCATTTGTTCCAGTATTCCCCGAAGCCCCATTTGTCCCAGCTTTCCCCGCACCGCCTGTATCCCCTGCAGCCTGGGTGGGTTCCTGCGTCTTCGCGGGACTCTCGCTGGCAACTACGGTACTCCCAGGCTCCGTGTGAGGCCCTTCCGTTGGACTGGTCGCTGCGGGCGCACCTGTCGAGACAATGGACAGTGAAAGACACAGGGTAAACGCTTCTCCTTCTTTGGCAGCTCTACCTTGTGTTTCTACATAATTCTTTCCCTCTTTCTTCCCCTCATTTTCCATACCCCTTTAGGAGCTGCGGGCTCCTCACCTGCTTTACCAGCACCCCAGCCCTCTCTTTTTCTCTCTCATATCCTCCAAACCCGTTCCCAACCTTCTCTTTTTCTCTTCTATATTCCCATAACCTCATCCCTATCCTTCTCTTCTCACCTTATTTTCCTAACTCATACCTATCCTTCTATTTCTCTCTCCTTGTTTTTCTTAACTTGCCTTTACTTTTCCCCTCCAAGCTAAAATCTTTCTTGTGCCTCGCGACTTTCATTAAATCCTTTACTTTGACTTGGCAAAACATTCTTAAATGGAAGTTTGAAAGAGAAGCAATGACCACGCCGTTGGTGCAAGTGTAATGTGGGGCCAGACACACAGGACAAATCATCACACTACCCTGCCCTCTGGAAACACCATGTTGTGTTCACACACACACACACACACACACACACACACACACACACACACACACACACACACACATATATTCTGAAATATATATTATAGTCGCA